TCTAAGTTGCTCAGTTTTTTATGTGCCGCAGGTCTTAAGATGAAATGCCAGGTGCCAGGAATGATGTGGGGAGGATTCAGTAATATTTGGGTCACAACATTGTTACCCTCAGTGTTCTTCGTCCTTTTATTTTCTTTTGTGTCTTACTCTTACCTCCATTTAGGGAGCCAACAATATCTCTACCTATTTTCTCCCCTTTTTGATACTGTTGAAACTTGAAAAACTTTCTGAGGAAGCCTTTGCTACACTTTGGGAATTAGGAAAGTTGCAGAGGGATCATGTGAGTGTCCCTGTTTTCATAAAGTGGGATTCAAACCCCCCATGTTAATGACTCAGTTTTGAGTTGTTATAGCCTGATCCAGATGCTCCTTATCCTTTAATTTTATGAAGAAAAAATTCTGTAGGGAACTTCTTTTAAGTAATGGTTACCATCATAGATTTAAGAACTGCAGACAAATTCTTCTCCATGCTTTCCTTTCTCCCACAAGTAACAGTATGTGCTTTTCATCTTACTTCCATGTTCTCATTTTTCTCTGTTCTAGTAGAATGGTTTCTTTTCCTGTGTAATACTGCCTGTCAGTCTGTGCTCTGAGTCATACTTTTTTCTGTCTTATCAAGGACTTCAAACCTATGAGTACCCTTACCTTTTGCTGCTTAGTACTGTCACCTCTTTCTTTTAACTTTTGAACTGGTTACGGTCTCATTTGTTTGGGGAGGAGCACACCCATACCTTCATTGGACAGTTTACTATTTCAGTCATGAAAGTTTCTTCTTTCAAAGAGATTAGCGTCTTGTGGGAGAGAGGTAGATAAAGATAATCACAGTTACATATAAATTCTATGATAGGGGTATTTATACTCTGCTTTAGGAATAATAGCTCCTTTAGTTTAGGAGATGGAGGATGGAAAGAGGGGATTGACCAGGCTTCCTGTAGGGGGAGATGTTTGGTCTTGAAGTAGAAACCAGCCAGGCAGACAGAGAAGAAAGGGACATTCCAGAAAAGAAGGCCCTTATTCCTTATCCAGTTACTATGTTATTTTTCAAATAACTTGTACTTGGCACAGTATTAGTTAGCATCAGAAGTACTAATGTATGGTCACTGTCCTTAGTGGTCGGGGGAGAGGAGGTGAGGGTAGAAAGCTTAAGCATATGATTCAACTGTGCATGTGAAACCACATGTCAGTTGCCAAACTGAGGTTATAATTGCTCTAAGAATTTAGAGAAGGATTAATGAAAGATTAGTAAAAGCTAAAGTAGTTGAAAATGAGGAATTTAGATTTAGCATAGTAGGAGTAAGGGAGCCATTGAAAGCGTTTAGGTATAATGACATGAAGGCAGTGTTGATAGGTTTCTCTTGGAGTGTATGCATGGACTGGATATGATTAGTAGGGAGGGGTGGTTGAGACATCAGAGTCCAGGAAGCCAGCTAGGAAGCTTTTGGAATGAGGTGAGGTAATGAGGGCCTGACATTTCTTAACCAGATTTCCATAACCAGATTCCTCAGAGCCTCCCGTGCTGTTTTTAAATTTACCACCATCTGTTCTCGTATACAAGTGGACTTTTGTCATCACCATTCCACTAATAAGTTTGTTTGTTTGTTTCTTTTTTTTTTTTTTTTTTTTTGAGGCAGGTTCTCGCTTTGTCACCCAGGCTGGATTGCTGTGGTGCACCCTCAGCTCACTGAAACCTTCATCTCCCAGGTTCAAGTGATTCTCCTGCCTCAGCCTCCCGAGTAGCTGGGATTACAGGCGTCTGCCACCACACCCAGCTAATTTTTGTATTTTTAGTAGAGACAGGGTTTTACCATATTGGTCAGACTGGTCTTGAACTCCTGACCTCAAGTGATCCGCCCGCCTCGGCCTCCCAAAGTGTTGGGATTACAGGCGTGAGCTACCGCACCCGGCCTAATAAGTTTGTGTCTAAAGTTACTGGTGATCTGGCCAAATCTAATGATCATCTTTTGTGTTCTCCATGCTTAATGGAGAACCACAATAGCCACCAGCCTAAATACCAACAATGGAGGCACTTTTTGCTTCACTACCAAGAATGCAGTATATAAAATTTAAGAAATTGCAAACAGAACAGAAGCCCCACTTTTTTAGAGTTTAAATTTGAGATGTTTTTATAGTGTACTTAAAATTTGCTCTTGCAGAACTGATGAATATAAGCACAGTGGAATAATTTTTACACATGATGGCTTTGAAGACTAGGGTCCTTTTTCTTTCCAGTCTATTTAAATCTTCACTTAGCTGAAGTTCTTCAGCTAAGTCAATCTTAACTTAGCTGAAGACTTCGCTAAGTTCTTCTTTCTTTACCCTCAAGGCTTTCTTCCATGTTGTTTTCTCCTTTTCCTGAACCTTCACAGCACCCAGAGCTCAGCTGTGTACTTTTTTTCAGTTCTTTGTTGTGTCTGAACTTCTTTATTGAACTATAAGTTCCTGGAGGACAGGAATTTTACCACACTTCCTATGTGTGTATTTTTATGTTTTACTCTAACATAGCTCTTTATGCGTGTATAATTGATGCATTCTTGTTAAATATATAACAGACAGTAAATACCTGTATTACTGAGATTCTCCTAAAGTCTTATTACTGGCACTGGGGGAAGGGAGCAGAAGGCAAAGATGGTTCTCAGTAGGGAGCACCTGCAGTAATAATTATATTCCCATTTGTAATATGCTTTTGTATGAAAATGCATGTAACTGGCTGCTTTGGGAATTTGAACAAAATAAACCTCTACTCCATGGAGACTTGATTGAGGTAAATTGGATGACAGCATGGTATAAAATAGCCAATCTTTATTGAATGAAATGTGAATAATAATATAAGTAACCACTCTTATTACCAATATGAGTAGTTAACATTTGTTAAGTACTTACTACTTGCCTGGCACTGTTCTGAATACTTTACATCAGTGAGATGGGTACTATTTAAATTATCATCTTCATTTTACAGATGAGATATGTTTAGCAAAACTACCAGATTGGGTATCAGGAGATCTGGGCTCTGGTTTTCGTACTACTGCTAACTACCTGTGTGAAATTGGATGAACCTTAACTTCAGTTTTTCATTAATGAAGGGATTAGTCTCTGATCTCTAGAATACTTTCTCTACTGTTTTGACATTGTGTGATCTCTAAATGATCCTATCTTCTTATTCTACGAGTCCCTATGACTTCTTGCTGGGAACAGACGTTTCTGGTTGAGATTGTAGAGTAGGATAGTAAGTTTTTTTTTTTTAAGGTCTCTGAAGATGCTATATAGATGAATTTAAAGTTCAGGTTCAGAGGAATATGTACAATAGAGATGGAGGGAATTTGAGAAAATGAGTAAGGTAAAATTGTGGATCAACGTATCTGAAAATCAAGAGGACTCAATTTACTGGCAGTGCAGATAGAATCCTAATGGTTGTCTTCTGATTTATAATTGCTCTTGCTTAATGTGGTTTACTTTATAGTGTATTAGTGCCCTCCCAAGATACTCCTAGACTAATATTATTAACTAACATTTACTGAGTATTTCTTTTGTGCATGTTTTAACACATTTAATTTTCAAAGTAATATTTTAACCATAGGTACTATTGTTGCATTTTACAGATGAGAAAACTTGGAGGCAGAGGTAATTAACATCTTCACAGTTCTACAGCTTGTAACTGTTAGAATCAGTTCTTAGACTCTGGGTCTTCCTCACTCCAAACTCCCTGTTCTTTATTGATTCTCTGTTGCCTCCATGTTGTTCAGAGCCTATGCATAATAATCAAGGTTGCTTTTTGTCAGGAGCCATTTGGAATGAAGGGGCTATATGGGATTTTCATAGCTACTAATGTTTTCTTTTGACTTGAAGTCAAATGAAACCTTTAAGTTTTTGTTGTTGTTGTTGTTCTCCTTTTTTCCTTTATTTTGATATCACTTAGAAATCTTTTCATTCATCTCTACTTTATTGTCAGTCATTATTCCTGCTTCTTTGATCCCAGAATAGAAGGGCTTATATCCTCTGCCGAAAGTTAACAATTCCAATGTGAAGCGTCAAGCCTTGTTTCTATATTCTTATCTTCAATTCTTAGAGCAGCTTTCTCCCTTTTCTAGAATATGTGTTAACCTGGCATATTTAGTTTTCTTTCTTTGTGTGGTAATGGTCTGAATTTTTCAGCTTTGGAGAGAAATACACTACAGAATTCAAATCACTGGACGTTTGCCCAAGCCTGTCTTTGAGTTTTTAATGCTTCTTTTCTTGCTGACCATTTATGTGAAATAATGCCTTATATTCTGTACTCCCACATCTTCAGTTAGTTTTTGTAAACCTGTTCCTTGACTTGTTTTTTAAAAAAAGTAACTCCCTGGTACTGCCTATTTTTCTCTCACTCATCGGTGTCCTTGACTTTGCATTCCTTTTTTCCGTCAACTCCCCCAGCTAGCTTGTCTCTTTGCTCTTCTTGTATACCCTGCTTTACTCTTCCTACCTCCTACCTGCATAAACTCTACCTTGCTTCCTTTGTGCAGATTCCTGTGCAAGTTTCTCAGTTACTTCTCTGACCTCTTGTCTCCACCTTACTTTTTGGTATTTTGTTTTTATGACTCTCCTAAAGTTTGTGTAAAAGAAATGCCAGAGGTACATTTTAAGCTTTTAACGGCTGGTGGTGGTGAGTAAAAGAGTTGGGCTGCAGCTGGGTTTTTCATACCAAGATCCTGTTGCCCTCTTAAAGAAACAGGCAGCAATATTTAGAAAGATTGGCATCGGAACCACTTTGTATGTGTGTGTTGTTCTGTATTTTAAACAATTTTAAAACCAAGTTGTGTTTTGATGAGGAAAAAATTAAGAAAAAAGATTGGAAATGTTGATCCCTTAAATATTTGGTTTGCTCATTAACATACTCAATCTTTTTCCTCCAGATGTAACTCAGGCTTTCCCTCACTTTGGAACTCCTAGATTTGTGAATATTGGATATTTTGAGAAGCAGGGGTTCTTTCCTTGATATTGACTAAGGAGTCTATTTACCTTCAGGATGACATCTGAACTGGAGAGCAGCCTAACATCTATGGACTGGTTACCACAGCTCACCATGAGAGCAGCCATCCAAAAATCTGATGCTACACAAAATGCGCATGGAACAGGAATTTCTAAGAAGAATGCACTCCTTGACCCAAATACAACTCTGGACCAGGAAGAAGTCCAACAGCACAAAGATGGGAAACCTCCATACAGTTATGCCAGCCTCATTACATTTGCAATTAATAGCTCACCCAAAAAGAAAATGACTTTAAGTGAAATTTATCAGTGGATTTGTGATAACTTCCCATATTATAGAGAGGCTGGCAGTGGTTGGAAGGTAAGGATTTTATTTAAATTATTTCTTTTACGAAGTAAGCAATGATAATACTGATTTCTACTGAAAATAAGGCTTTGTGAAGGCTCATGTAATTGATTATGAAATTTTGATCTCTAGTGATTTTTAAGATGTCAAAAAAAAGTTTTTAGCTTAGGTGAATAACTTTATTTTTGGTAGATTATTAGTGTGTTCAAGCTTGATTATGTTATAGTACTGATGTAGCATAAAGTAAAGCAGAGTTAATGTAGCATTCACTGGAAACCATACCGGCAGTTCAGGTGAGTTGACAGTGAGCCTAAAGTGAAAAACAACATAGTGTTGCAGCTAGTACTAACTACATTTATCAGTAAAGAATTTTTTTTTTTTTTTTTTTGAGACAGAGTCTCACTCTGACGTCCCAGGCTGGAGTGCAGTGGCTTGATCTTGGCTCACTGCAAGCTCCGCCTCCTGGGTTCACACCATTCTCCTGCCTCAGCCTCCCGAGTAGCCGGGACTACAGACACCCGCCACCATGCCCGGCAAATTTTTTGTATTTTTAGTAGAGACGGGGTTTCACTGTGTTAGCCAGGATGGTCTAGATCTCCTGATCTCATGATCTGCCCGCCTCAGCCTCCCAAAGTGTTGGGATTACAGGCGTGAGCCACCGCGCCCAGCTGATTTTTTTTTTTTTTTTTTTAAATTAGAGACAAGGTGTTGCTCTGTTACCCAAGCTCGAGTGCCTGAGCACGCCACTATGGCCAGCTAATTTTTAAATTTTCTGTAGAGATGGGGCCTTGCTCTGTTGCCCATGCTGGTCTCGAACTCTTGGCTTTAAGTGATCCTCCTGCTTTGGCCTGCCAAACTTTTGGGATTACAGGTGTGAGACACTGTGCCTGGCCAAGACTTTTTAAAAAATATTTATCTTGAAAGAATTTTAGATTTTTGCAAGAGTTGCAAAAGCAATACAGAAGGTTCCCATGTGTACTTCGTCACCTTCTTCTAATGTTAACATCTTACATAACCATAGTACAATTTTCAAAACTAAGAAATTGACTGAGCATGGTGGTTTATGCCTGTAATCCCAGCGTGTTGAGAGGTGAAGGCAAGAGGATTGCTTTAGAACAAGAGGTTGAGACCAGCCTGGGCAATATATGTTGCTCATGATTAGATGTTTTCTTAGAATGAGGTATTACATTTTTGGGAAGAATAATACAGATACGACCTTTTGTGCATAACATATCAGAGGATAGATAAGTATTTCTTAATGGGAATGTTAACTATGATTCTTTGGTTAAGGGGATGTCTGCCAGGTTTCTTCATTATGAAGTTACTATTTATCACTTTGTAAATAATAATATGTTTTGGGGGGATACTTTGAGCATTTGCAAATACAGTAAGTCCTTAACTTTGATAGGTTCTTGGAAACTGTGACTTTAAGCAAAACAACATAAAGTGAGACCAATTTTTTTTCTCATCAGCATTATAATGAAATGATGTTATTTGAAGACGTGCTATACTTTTGACTTAACGTTGCAGTTTCCAAGAACCCCATTAGTAGTGCTAAATGAAGACTTACTATACTTTATTTCTTCTTAAACTTTTGTCCGTTAATTTTAGCATTGATTGGTAGGTCATAACTGTAGCAATTATTCCTCTCTCTCCTCCCCTCTCCTCCCTTCCCTTCCCATTCCTTCCCCTACCTTCCCCTCCCCCACCTTCCCCTCCCCCACCTTCCCCTCCCCTCTCCCCTCTCTCTTTTTTTTTTTTTTTTTAAGAGTCTTGCTCTGTTGCCCAGGCTGGAGTGCAGAGGCACCGTGTCAGTCCGCAGTAACCTCTGTCTCCTGGTTTCAAGTAATTCTCCTGCCTCAGCCTCTCGAATAGCTGGGATTACAGGTGTCTACCACCGTGCCTGGCTAATTTTTATATTTTTAGTAGAGACAGAGTTTCACCACATTGGCCAGGCTGATTTCGAACTTCTGACATCGGCCTCCCAAAGTGCTGGGATTATAGGCATGAGCCACCGTGGCTGGCCAATTATTACTGTTTTCTAATGGTGATTGTCTCTTTTCCTTAATTCCTTCGACATTTATTAATTGATACTCTTCTGAAAAGATGAGTTGTTCCTTTAGTCCCTTTTATTCATTTATTCAATCATTTATTTATAATAGTATGCACTCATAGATATTTATTCTTTGTGCTATTGTTGTCATTCAAATTGTTGCAACTTTGGCCCTTAGGATCTCTTATAGGTTGGCCCCATACTTCTGTTTGCTTAGCACTTTCTTTTTGGGACCTTGAGTTGTTCCAGGGATATATTGAGTCTTCTTGCTCAACTTTGGAATCAACCACTACTTTAAGGAGACTTTTGAGGTACTAGCTAATTTATGTTATACAACAAATAATTCAACTTTCTTTTTTTACATTTTTAAGTTTTTTTTTTTTTTTTTTTTTTTAGACAAAGTCTTGCTCTCTCTGTCAGCCTGGCTGGAGTTCAGTGGTATGATCCTAGCTCACTGCAGCCTCAAACTACTGGGCTCAAGTGGTCCTCCTGACTTATCCTCCTGAGTAGCTAGGACTACAGGTGCGTGCTGCTATGCCCACCTGGCTAATTTTTAGGGTCTTGCTATGTTGCCTGGACTGGTCTTGGCCTCAGGTGATCCGCCTGCCTCTGCTTCCCAAAGTGCCGGGATTATAGATGAGGGCCACCGCTTTCTTTCGTCTCTGCACATGTTATATTCATATTCTTACATAGGAATTAACAAGTCGTGTGCTATGTGGGGGGTGTGTATACATGTAGAGGAAGGGAGTTATAGAGCTTTAGGTCGATCATCAGATGGTAGTTACTCTTTGGTTTCTCTTAGGCCTTCCTACTTCAACACTTTTGCCTTTTTCATTTGACTGGATTTATTAGAGACATTTGCTGATTTACTGTGCACCAAGGATGTGCTGTGCATGATTCCCTTGTAAGGGAAGGGATTGTGCCTCACTGAAGTTTTTGTATCTCTTTCTCTTACATACCTTAGCACACAGTACTTCCATTTAGTAAGCTTCAGTAAGTGCAGTTTGAATGAAAGCATGAATTTTGGTCCCAGTCCACCTTTTTAGCTTTATTTTTTGTACCTTCCTTTCATATACTTCTCGCCATTCCAGCCTACTAGCTGTCTCTGTAAGTAAGCACATATATTTCCTTCTTGCTTTTGTTTTTCTCTTATTTCTCCTTGGACCTTGTCTCTTTCACGCCCCCCTCCCTCTTTTAGTTGATATTGCCCTATTACTTCAGCTCATGTATTATTTCTCATCTCCCTGTAGAATCAATCTCTTGTGTTACCATATGCTTTATTAATAACAGTATTATAAACTTAGTTTTTTTGTTCAGAAATCTTGTTTCATTAGTTTTTGTTTCTGTACTTAGATACTCAAAATGATAGCTGCTTTTATTATTTTCTGTCTGCCAGGCACTATACTAAGTGCCATCATTGTCTCTTTAGGCCACACAGTAGCCTTATGAAATAGGTATTATTATTGTCCAAATTTTAGTAAAAAACTAAGGATTAGAAAAGTAACTTTCTAGAGTTTATGGGGGAGTATGATAATCTAAATTGAGTGGTACAGAGAATAAGTGCCACTAGAGTACCAGGAAGTGGGGAATCATTAGATAGCCATTGAGGGAAGTGGGACTTGAGCTGTATTTTGAAGAAGAGTTAAGATTTGTGGAGGTGTTTTTCAAAGTTCAAGTGTTAAGAAGCACTCGGTTATAATGGTTTGCAGTAGAGAGTGTGATAGGGTCAGAATATGGAGATCCTATGAATATATGAATGCCAAACTGGAGAGCTTGGTCCAAATTTAAGGGATAGCATATAAAGTTCGAATGTTGTTTTTCCTCATTAACTTGTCTGACTTCAGTTTTGATGATGTCTCCCTGAGAATGCCAAATCCATTCTACTGATATTCCTTGCCGATAGCCAGCCCAAATCATGGGTCTGAAACTGTTTTGGATGTAGTGATGCAGTTTCAATTGGAAAAAATAGAAATAGAGAAAGGTAATATCGTTGTTAGAACTAAATAGGTAGAGAACTAATGGGTAGAGAAGGATGATGTTGCTCTTAGAACTAGAAGATCCTGAGAGAGATGATCTGGTCCTATCTACTGCTTTAGGCAGACTTTTAATGTTTCCAGAGATGGTTATTAAAGTTTCCTTTACTCAGTTTTTAAGTATTTGGTGCCTAGCATATGGCATGATCACTTTTAATTTTATTTTTATAAACATAGAAATATTTTGAACACTTCAAGTGGAGACAGATGGAACCTCGTTTATCTTCTCCTTTGCACAGACCTTTTTCTATTTTACTTCCCATTCCCTCTCCTTAGATTTGTTTAGAACACTTCAGCAATCTGCTGCTTACTCTTCTTCAGGTACGGAGGAGATGAATCGTAGGAAAATGGGAAGTCACTTAGAACTTGTGAAGTTAGCTTGTATTGGTTGAAGAGAGGTTTGGAGAAAGATCTTAAAGTGACTGTCACCACCTTTCCAGAAATGCAGAGTCAACTTACGCGACCCAGAGGACAATATGTTGCCACTGTTGCTTAAAAAGACTCAAATACAGTTTTAGTAAACTCCCTTTCATTTTGTGTCAGGGCCTTGAAGGGAGATTACATATTAAAAATACCTCTTTGGAGTTTCCATAATTGAATGATTTTGTATTCAGAACTAGAGGAAAAGGAATTAAATTTTCAGGCTATGTGCAGTGGGCTCATGCCTATAATCCCAGCACTTTGGGAGGCCAAGGCAGGAGAATCCCTTGAAACCAGCCTAGGCAACATAGTGAGATCCTGTCTCCACAAAATAAAAAATAAAAAAGAAATTAGCCGGGCATGGTAGTGTATCCCTGTGGTCCCAGCTACTTGAGAGGCTGAGGTGGAAGGATTGCTAGAGCCCAGGAGGTTGAGGTTGCAGTGAGTTACGATCATGCCACTACACTCCAGCCTGGTGACAGAGCGAGACCCTGTCTCCAAAAAAATAAAAAATAAAATTTCATGGTATTCACTTTGAGGAAAGGTAACTTATTAAGTTGTTGAAGGTTAGGATAATTTAAAAAAGGAAAAATACAAAAGTGGTGTGTGGGTGTATTGTGTTACTTTTTGTGTGGGTTAAAAAGGAATAATGTTATTCATTATGTGTTTGCTCATTGTTGGGAAAAGAAATTTAGGAATTTAAACTAGAAATGTAATTAATGTGACTACCTCTAGGGGATAGATGGGAACCAAGGTGGAAAGGATGTAGAAGGAAATAAGATTTTGCGTATACTTTTTTATATAGTTTTAACTTTTGAACCCATGTACATGTTTTACATATTTAAAAAAAAAACAAAAGAGATTAAAAAAGGAAACCCTCAAACAGAATACAAGCAGAAACAAGCCTAACATTGTTTTGAATTAATAATGTAATCACACAGAAAAAAACAAATTGAAGAAACTTTTGGTATATACCTTATATACCTTCATGGCATACATTCCAAGGCCAAAAATAGTTACAAAGAAATCATCAACTTAGTAGATATGTGTTCGGTGGTGGAACTTCAGTAGAGGCAGTCTCTATCTCCAAAAACCCCTAGGAAAGAAGTTGGGAGGGAAGAAGTTAGAAAGTTGAGAGCAATTCTGAAACCATTTTAGTAGGGTAGAACAAATGAGTACTTATATTGATTTTTGGGGGGACCAGTGGGGACAGAAACCAGGACTCACAGAAGAAAGAATGGATAAGAATGTAGCAGTTGGTTGGATTGGAGGTGGCAGTTTAAACTCAACTTTAAAATAAAAATTACATAGAATGCTTTTAAAATTAGAATTGCCAGGTCACTACTCTAGAGATTTTAAATTAGGTGCCTTGGATAGATCCTAGGAATCTGCATTAAAATAACATTTCAAGTGAGTCTAGTGCAGATAAACTGTAGTTTTGAGAAACTGCTTTTGGGGATGGGGTTTTTAAGGCCAATCAGCATGGCTTCATCATTTTGATTGATTAGGTGATTGAAAAAAAAAATCACCTAATTATTTCTGCTTCTCCACTTCACCAACTTCTTTTCTTGGGGTTATGGGAGATGGGGACTACCCAAGCTGTAAGGTCTGAAGTAACTTTACCTCTTTTCTTTGTGGGTTTTATGTGTATGTACAAGTCTTGGCTTTCGTATCTCTGTGTTTTTACATTCTAAATAGGTTTTTGGTATTTTTTTCCCAACAGATATGTGATTACCCTTTGAAAAACATTGTGTCCTAGCTTTTGGGTTGAAAGACAAGGTTCCTGCCCTCATGGAGCCTGTTTATATTTTGGTAGAGAATACCGCATGGAGGGGGAAGACCATTAAATAAACAATTGCAGATGTGATGAGAAATTCAGGATGACGAAGTTTATTACAGTGGAACCTAACTAATCTGTGAACACCAGAAAGGGCTTCCTTAAAGAACTGAAGTTTAATACAAGAATGAATTGAAAATTGAGTAGATTGATTTAGGTGAAGAAGATGGAGTAAGGCTGGGGGCAGTAATCTTTGCAGATGTAGCAACTTGTGGAAAGCCTAGAACCTGAGAGAGAACATTGGAGGGGATGAATGTAGAAAGCAAGATAGGGTCAGATCATGAAGAGTCTTTCGAGGCTTAAGAATATTGGATTTTGTCCTAAGTGCGCTGAAAGTTTTTAAGTGAAGGGGTAACACCAAATTTGCATTGTGAAGACATAACTCTCTGCAGGGTGGAGAATGATGGAAGGAGGGCTGAAAGGAAAGGGGACACCAGTTAGGAAGCTGTTGTACTAGTTTTGCTGAGACTGGTTCCCTAGACTGAGTAGTCACAGAAAAGATGGGGTAAGATTGGCAGATCTAAGGCAGGCGTAGTGAAGTTTAGTGATAGATTTGTTTTAGGTGGTAAGAAAGAGACAGGAGTTAAGGATGCTTTACAGGTTTCTGATGGAGCAGCAGTTATGTGAATAATAATGTCTTTGAACTGAGAAGGGAAAACTGGAAGAAGATCACATTGGGCATAAAGATTGAGTTTAGTTTTAAATATGTTGAGTTTGAGGAGATTCTGGAGATGTGCCATTGATAGTTGGAAACATACATTAGGAACTTGAGAAAAGTCTGTCCTGGATCTAGACAGATTTAAGTGATTTGTCACAGGTGGTCATTGGGTGTAGATGAGATTAGCTAGGCAGCAGATGTAGAAATGAAAACGACATAGGGCAGAACCCTGCAGATTTCCAACATTTAAGCTTTTTGTAGAGGAGGAAGACTGTGTAGAGGTGTGTACTTCCTTTGAAGTGATGAGTTCACACTGAGCCATTTACTAATGATACTTCTTTGTTCTGACCATCCTGATTTGTATTTTCCCCTCATCGTGAACTTTTAAGCTGGGTAGGTGAACTACAGTTTGTCTGATGCCTCTTTCTTTTTTCCCATCTTATTTTAGATTTGAATTGTGTATTTTTTATGATTCCATTTTATCTCCACAGTTCTTAGTTATCCCCTTTCTAAATTTTTTTTAGTGATTACTCTAGGGTTTACTATATACATCTTAGTTCATTCAGGCTGCTATAACAACAAAAAGAAAACCAAAAACATAGGGTCAGGGCTTACAAACCACAAACATTTATTTATCATAATTCTGGAGGCTGGGAATTCCAAAATCAAGATGCCGACAGGTTCTGGTGATGACCTGTTCCCTGGCTCATAGATGATCCTGTTCGCATTATAACCTTACATGGTAGAACAGAGAAATAAACTCTCTGAGGCCTCTTTTATAAACACTAATCTCATTCGTGAGGACACCCTTCATAACCTAATCACCTTAAAGGCTCCATCTCCAAATATCATCACGTTGGGAATTAGGTTTCAACATAAGAATTTTGAGGGGATGCAAGTATTCAGTCGATTGTAATATCTTTAAGTTACTGCGCTGTGCCTTCAAATAGTAGGTTATCAAGTTTTGGGGGAGACTAGGAGATAATTTAAGAAAAATGGAAATATTATAAACTATATTTAAAATTTTTCATTCAAAATGGAAATAGTTTTAGTACTACAGGGAGAAAAATGTGTATTTTTAGAACTTAGATGATCTATTTTATTGAAGACTCTCAATGAAGGAAAGACGGGGGCATGACTAGCAATTTTCTTCTTTTTTTTTTTTGAGACTAAGACTGTGTCTCCAAGGCTGGAGTGCTGTGGTGCGATCTCGGCTCGCTGCAACCTTCACCTCCTAGGTTCAAGTGATTCTTCTGCCTCAGCCTCCCCCGTAGCCCCCCTGTAGCTAGGATTACAGACGTGTACCACCATGCTCAGTGCTGAGTGCCCTTCGTCCTGGGAAACAGGGTGCAGCCGGAAAGGCGGCCGCCCCCTCGCCCGTCACGCAACGCACGTTCGTGGGGAAGCTGGCGCTAAACCATTCATAGACAACCTGCTTCTGGGTCGGGGTTTCGTACGTAGCAGAGCAGCTCCCTCGCTGCGATCTATTGAAAGTCAGCCCTCGAAACCATTTCGTGTATCATGTCAGAATTGTTTAAACCACATCTTTCCAGTTTCTTTGACCCATCCTTTTTGCTGTTGTTGTCGTACATTTTACTTTTACATAGTTCCAAACTCCATAATAAATTATATTTGCTTTATAAAATTTATTTTTTTTTTACAGTCTGAATATCTTCATACAGTCTTTTTAAAAGCATTAAATCTACCTTCATTTTTTTTTTTTACCATTTTCTGACACCATTTATTTTCGTGATCTGCATTTTTGTTTGATTTCATACTTCTGCCAAAAGAACTTTCTTGTAACAGTGTAAGCTGAAATGAATTTTTTCAGCTTTTGTTTGGAAGTCTTTATTTTGCCTTTATTTTTGAGAGATATTTTCACTGCACAGGTTTCTTTTTTTTTTTCTTTTTTCTTTCAGTATTTTAAGATATCACTCCATTGCCTTCTGGCTTGCATGGTTTTTGAGAAGTCCACTGTAATTCTTATCTTTATTCCTTTATACGTAATCTACTTTCTCTGACTGCCTTCAAGATGTTCTTTATTTTGGTTTTTAGCCCTTTCACTGTAATGAATTTGGGGATGTGGATTTTTACTTTATTCTGCTTGGTGTTCTCTGAAATTCTTGCATATTCGGGTTGATGTCTTGCATTTATTTTTTGAAAATTCTTGACTGTTACTTCAGATTTTCCTTCTGTCCCATTCCTTTTTTTTTCTCCTTCTGGGACTTGAATACTCTTATCATCACACAATTCTTGGATGATCTGTTTTGTTTTTGTTTTGCCCTGTGTGAATGCGCCAGTCTCCATTTGGAAATTTCTGTTACTCTACCCTCAGGTAGAGTTGTGTCTAGTTCTTTTCCTAGTTGTGTCTAGTTTAATGATCCCATCTGAGGAATTTAATCATGTTCAATGATTTTATTTCTATTGTTTATATTGGTCTCTTTCTTTAGTTTTCACATTTCTGTTGAAATTCTCCATCTCCTTATGCAAGCAGGTTGTCCGCTTTTTTCCTGCTAGACCCTTTAATATATTAATCATAGTTATTTTAATGTTTTCTTTCCTGATAGTTCTAACACCTGAGTCTTGTCTTGGGTTTTGTTGATTATTTTATCTCTTGGCAGTAAGTTTTCCTTTCTTTTCTATGTCTTACAATTGTTGATTGAGACCAGACATATGTGTAGAAGAATGGTAGACATTGAGATAAATGGTACTTGTACTCATAAATGGACAAGCATCTTTTTTCTCAGGCCGTTCTTGTGGGGATTGAGTCAGTCTGTCAATAATTTGGATTTTTAAAATTGATATCTTTATCTTCAGTATACCACAAACTTTACATTCCTCCAGCAGTGGGCTTCTGTTAACTTGTGCTTGGAGAGGGTGCTGTAGGATTTTTTTGTTTTTTAATCTCTTTAGATTTTAATTGTCTCTGCCCACCTTTTTACACATCGTGGGGGTTTCTTGCCCCTTCTGTGTCAGTAGACTGCGTTTGCTTGTTATTCAGTGCTATGCTTTTGGTAGAGGTGAGGGGTGTTCTCTATTGTGTTGGTCCAGCCTTAGTCTTATGCAGACCCTCAAACTTACGGTGGGCTTTTTCAGTGTTTCTTTCCCTCAGCCAAACTAGTCTTGTGTATCTGTAGTTACTTTTGGGTTGGAGTTTCCCACCTCTTCTCCAGGTGTAGCAGACCTCTACATGGTATCTGTATAGGATCCTGGGCCCAAGATAGTTTCCTGTACCTCTCCCAGAGTTCAAGGGATTTGCTTCTGCTTTTCCTCCAACAGCAGATCATCTTTGCCTATGTACTACTGGGTAAGGGTTTCCTGTCCCTCCCTAGAGGCACCAGGGTTTTGTTTCCATTCTTCCCCTAGAAGCAGTGAATCTTTGCCAGAGTCTTGTGGGTGAGAGGTTTTGCTGCGTTTACTGCAGACTTGTTTTTTTGCTTTGTAAAATCTGTGGAAGGTTGGTGGGCTTTGTCTCCTCACTCCCTATCACTGTCAATCACTTTCTTCCTGTTTATGCCACTAGGGGAGACTTTCTTGGGTCTCCTTTCCTACCCCTATTCTTTCTTAAGAACATATGATAAAGGTCTATGGAGAAGACCTTAAGAGAGTGTGAGAACTTCTCTTGTTTCTGGGATCCTTGTTGCTCTAAAGTGACAACCCCATGCTTGGCCTTTAAAATTTTAGGTAATTTCTTTTTAACTGCTTGGATGGTGGCCATCTCTTTTTCCTGTGCTCTGCCAAAGGTGATTTAGTTGTGTGTCCAGTTTCTCATTGAATAGCCTTGCTCCTCTTAGGAATGTGGTTTGGTTGCCTTGCAATCTGAGCTCTCTGATGTGGCTTAAAAAAAAGTAGGTTTTTTTGTTTTGTTTTGTTTTGTTTTAAAAAAAATGCTTACCTAGGATTTTCTCTTTGGAAGACAGCATCATTCTTTGTAGCTGTTTACATCCCAAGCGTAAGTTTTAAATTTCTGCTTTGGTAATAAGATGGTCTTGAATTTATATTCTGTAGTCATCTTTTTAAAATGTTTAAAATTCCAATATTGTGCCTGAAGGAGAGAAGTTTTATTATAGGCATTCTTGTTAGACTACTGAATTTTATATTAAAAAACAAAACAGATACTATGCCAAAATATGACCCCAAAAGGTACCATTCTAAGTAATGGCTAAATGCAGTTGGACCTCTTTTCTCCCAAATACTAGCCATTTGGGAACAAACAGGATAATTTGAGAATGGGTTTTGGAGCATTTAATTGAGAAGAAATGGACTTTGGGGCATATTCTGTACGGATTGTGGTACAGTCCTACTTATTCATGAATAAATTTCTGTTTCACAGACTCTGCAGGTTTCCAAGGGCATTTTCCTGCTACCCACTTTGGGTGTTCTTCCCTGCTACAATGAGGAATTTAGATGTTCTTCCCAGCTCCCTGTAGCCAGTATCTTTCCATGTGTTTTTCTTTTTTACAGACTGTGGTGAGAACCTAATTGGGTTCTGTATGTTTTTTTGTAATAGAGCAGTGGAATTTTTTAAAAATATTTTTTAAACTAATTAAAAAGTGCTAGTACATGTGTCTTGCAGACTATTTGGACTTTGCAGTAAAGAGAAGAAAATAGTCATACTCTTTAATTTCATGTAGAATACCTTCTAACATTTTGCATTCTGGCTTATTTCCAAGAATAAATAAATAAATTTAAAATAAGTACCACAATTAAAGTCATAATATGTATCATAATATGCCAATTTTATATTTTGGCATTTAATATTTAACATTACATTACAGGCATCTTCCTGTATCGTTAAAAGTGTTAAACACTTAAAATGCTACATGTATTACATTTTACGAAATCCTCTAGAAATTATTTTCCAGTAATAGCTTCCCCTTGTAGCATTCATAATTTGAAAGTCAGAAAGTTTAAATTTTAAGCTCATTAAAAAGTTTATTCCATTTGTAATTGTTTTGCAAAGCATAGAGATGTTTAGATTTCTAATTCTGTTTTAAAGTTGGGTTATGTTTTTAGGATTTTATTGACCTTATGGCTTTTCTTCTTTAATTCCAGAATTCCATACGACATAATCTGTCATTGAACAAATGTTTCCTTAAAGTGCCTCGATCCAAGGATGACCCTGGAAAGGTAGGATTCATTTTCTTAAAACAGCTGAATTCTTCAGTATGTCGCTTGTCATGTTTGAATTAAGAACTTTTCCAGTTCATTGAATAGGAACCTCTGCAAAGTAGTAAGTCCCCCCCCCGCCCCGCTCTAAAGCTTGTTAGAGAGTTTTAAGCTGTGGGAAGCTAACTAGTGTATAGCCAATGTGCACCACAGCGCTGTTGTACTTTGCTGTTTCTAATCTTTGGTTGAAGTGTTGTGTATTAAATGAAATTTGGTGTTTGAGCTGCTTGTCAGGAACCATAATTATTACATAAAACGGGTGCATCTGTGTGTAACTGGCAACAGGTGGAAGTATTCTTACACTGGAATAAAATAGTTTCTCTGTTATTAACCCATTTCTGAGTATAATCAAGAAGCGTGTTCTCTACTTGACTCCTCTTATCTCCTGACACCATTGCATTTTTCACGTTTTCAGCGTTTTTTCTATGGTGACTCCCGCCTTTCTTTTGTTGTTTTAATAGCTAGTCAACTATAGTGTGCCCTGAACTTGGTACTAGTTGCTTGGTTTCTGAAACTTAAGAGTACTTGGTTGTACTGTATTTGGTTGTCAAGGTAAGTTACTAGATTAGGACTTTGAGACAGTGTATTTATTGGCAAGCACGATGCTTGTTTAGGTGGTTAGACTTCTTATATTTGTTTTTAGGCTAACTGATTTTGGAAGAATCTTTCTGAAATGTAAGCCTGATCATGTAAGCACCTTGCTTAAAAGTATTCCTTAGTGTCCTGGAGGTGTTTACTTTCTCTTCTTGTAAAATGTTCTTTACTATTTTTTTCTCTATCTGCCTTTCCAGCTGTAATTCACCTCATTCAAGACACATTGTGAAGAACTACTTGAAGTTTTCCAAACATGCCATTCACATGGTCTTCTGTACAAATTTCCTTGCTTTACTTGTCTAGACTGTTTCTTATCTTTCAGTATTGAGCTGCAACATGACTTCTCTGAGGCTTTTTCGTTTCCCCATACTTCAGCTGAGTTTGTTGCTCCCTCTTTTGAGTTCCTTTTATTTTGTAGCGACCGTCATCGTTGTAGTAAGTAGCTCCTAACTGGACTCTCCATGGCTGGGCTCAATCCCTCCAGTTTATATTAACTTTCACATAGTATGCAGCAATCTTCCCCGCCCCCCCCCCCAAAAAAAATGTTAACTTACTCATATGGTCTCTTATTTTCAAGCTCTTTGTTAGTTATCTACTGCCTTTAAAATCTAAATTTATGCAAGTAGGGATCATGTGTATCTTGTTCACTGTTTAGACCCAGTTGCTGGCACAGTGGCTGGTGACACTGAGGAGACACCGTTGTTGAATGAATGAATATACTGTATCCTCTGTCAGACTGTTAACTTCTTGAGATTAGAGATGAAGAGTTATTCATTTCTATCTTAAAGCAGTTTTTCTGAAGTAGTGAACATTTTATAGCACTTTTTATCATCTGTGTGCCCTGTCAAGTTGGTTCTCAGTAAGACTGAACAGATTAATAGTCTTGTAAAAAATTGTTTCTCTATGTTTTTAACTTTGAGATTCTAAATAGGAATTGTTGCACCTTTTCCTTTAAAGGAGGCTTTTTACAAAAAGATAATTAGATTCTAAAAATAAATTCTTTATCACATTTCCTATAGGCAATGAGTATATATGGGTCAGACTGAAAAATATTTTTAAGAGACTTCAGAGATTATTTATTAGAGTCCTATGAAGTCACTAATTAGGTTCTGTAAACATTTTGGTTCTGATTGGATTTTTAAATGAATTTGAAGTAATTTTTAAAAATTAAAAAATCAATACATATGGAGGCTTAATTCTATCATGTACTTGATTTTAACCAATTGGAGACTCTTAAAAATGTGTCATGTTAGGTATTTTCTTTTGTGTAGAAGTTTAAGCTTTTGTTCATCTTTAATGTATGGGGTAAGACAGATGTGGAAAACATGTTACTCATTGCAACTCTTTTTTTTGAATCAGGATTCTTAATAGTGTGCAACTAAAATGAAATACAGAAATGAATTGAGTCCTGAGAGGCTAATCAGAGCTTTCATCTTTTACCAGTAGTTTTCAGTTTTAAGGTTTTGTATTTATTAAAACACCCCGTTCTTATTGATTTTGGTCATAGTAAGTAAATATCATACATTTGATTTTATAAAGTACATTTGTAGTAGTAATTTTTCTTTTCAGTCTCAAAGTGAGGTTTATTTTATTTGTTTGTTTGTTTGTTAATTTTGGGATGGAGTCTCACTCTGTTGCCCAGGCTGGATTGCAGTAGTGCAGTCTCAGCTCACTGCAGCCTCTGTTTCCCGGGTTTAAGCAATTCTCCTGCCTCAGCCTCCTGAGTAACTGGACTACCAGCGTACATCACCATGCCTGGCTAACTTTTGCATTTTAAGTAGAGACGGGGTTTCACATCTTGGCCAAACTGGTGTTGAACTCCTGACCTCAAGTGATCTGACCACCTTGGCCTTCCAAAGTGCTGGGATTATAGGCGTGAGCTACCATGCATGGCCACAAAGCGAGGTTTAAATACATTTTTCTCATTGATTTTGGTCAGACGTAGATGTAAATTTGGTCTTATAAATACATTTATGTGAATAAAGTCATTTTTATTTTTGATTTAAAAATGAGATTTTGTTTAAGAAAGCACAAAATTCCACTGCTTTAAAAACACTTTGAAGACTTCATCTCAAGTCCATTTCATAAAAGAAGAAACTAAGGCCAGTAGATGAGGAACAGCTTGCTCAGGTTCAGTGTGGAATTTAGAACCCAGGCATATTGGCCAGACATACTTGTTAGTCACAGAAACTCAATACAAACTAACTTAAGGGGAAAAGTACTTAAGGAAGAACTGGAGCCAGGTTCTTAAATTATATCACCAGGAATGTCTCTTTTCATCCCTTAGTTGTGCTAATTTCTCTGATAGCTTCATTTTCAGTCCAATAAGTGGCAAATATGTCTGTCAGCAGCTCTGGTTTATATTTCATCAGCTGAGTAACACTTAACAGAGAGAGTATGCCTGATGTTCACCCCGCCACCTCCCAAATAACTGAAATTATAGAAAAAGTCTTAGAATGAATGCTGAACAAACAAAATACACTGGGTTTCTTAGTTCTTAGATTAGTACTTTTCCCATGATATCAATCTTCCTTGAGAGGGAGACCAAAATGTTAGTTAAGTTTTAGTACTTATGAATTGTTTTTTCTTTTTGCATTACAGTGTTTCCTGACATTTGAGGAGCTTTTCCAAAACTACCCTCACCACAGTGGGAGAAAACCATTGAGCCAAGGTGGGGTGGGAGTAGATTTTGGTCTTGGGTATGGGGTGGACTTTATAACCCCTTAGAATTTTGCTAGCTGCTGCCATGACTTAGGTCAAGAGGTGGAAGTAACTCATACAGCATCTTCTCTGTATTTTCACAATACAGCTTTCTGTTCATTGTATTACCAGAGAGGTGTGAAGAACAACCTAATCTTGAAGTGTATTGTTAAATCACAAATGTTTTAATGTGGCTATCTATTCCTTACTTAATCCTTCATTTTCAAGAAGATTGTGTCGTAAAAGTCCTTAATATTTGGTACCTTTCTATGTACATTGGTGGTCTGAGATTCATTTTCCTCACCTCTTTACAACTAATTTCAAGCAGCCATATTATCACTTTATTTAAAAAAAACCACACACACAAAATGAAATTCAATTTTGCATCCACAACTTTGCTGCTTTTTTGGGGACAGATTTGTTTTTCTTCTCTTGATTATAACCCTTTTCACCCTGTGTATACATTGGGCAGTCTGTCTCCATTTTTTAAGTCCGGCCTTTTATCTCTTCTCTTTTTGTTAGTTCTGTTTTCTCTATATTTGTCTTTTTTTTTTTTAATTCTTTGGATTATAAGTCTTATTGTGTAATTCATGCTTATGTCTTAATTATCTTAAAGGTAAATGTTTACATTAGGGAAAAACAGATTACTGCCTAAATGTAGTTTAAAAAATATAATTCTCTTTCTCTGCTTTTCAGCTTAACCTTTTCTCAATTTTGTTTCCCTTTCTTCAGTTCAGAAAAATTATCTTTGATTTGAAAGGAACTAAAGGATTATAGGGCTCAGTTTCAACAGTTACCTAAACTTAGTAGCAGTGGACTCTAATAGAACTGAGAAAATAGCTAAGAAGTTTAAAACCACATGAAGGCCACCTGACTATCCTGGGGAAATAACTACAGTTAATTCATAGAAGAGTTTTTAGGGGTGTGGGGGTTAGGGAATCTTTGTCTTGCCTGGGAATGGGAAGTTGTAAAGCCTTAGGGACCGGAAAGATTGGGCTCTCCTGCTTTGTGAGGAAATAACAAATTCATTGCTAAGAGACTAACTTTTGAAACTTCCAGGATTGTGATTTTTTCTTTAAAAAATTTTTTTGAGACAAGATCTTGCCCTTTTGCCCAGTGCAGTGGTGCTCTCATAGCTTACTGGGCTCAAGTGATTCTCCAGAGTAGCCAGGATGACAGCACATGCCACCATGCCTGGCTAAGTTTTTGAAATTTTTTGTGGAGATGGAGTTCTCACTGTGTTGCCTAGACTGGTCTTGAACTCCTGGCTTCAAGTGCTCCTGCCTTGGCTTCCCAAAGTGTTGGGATTAGAGGTGTGAGCCACCACGCCTCACAAATTATGAATTTTTTTCTATTCTTATTCTGTAGATTAGTATAAGGGACCATAACATAGTTGACTGATCTTTCTTTTTAAAGGGTATTCTTTTTTTGGGGCTATGTTAGTATTATATTTATTTGTAAATTGCTTGTTAGTCTCTGGTATCCCATTTTGGTCACTTTCTTTGAAAAATGTGTAGAAAAACTGGAGAGGTTTGAGGGAACATAAAATATAACATTAAATGATTAACAGTGTTGTAGGAGTCATAGGTATTACCCTAGAGAAGGAAGATAAGAGTATAATTTTAATGCTAGTCTTAAGTTAAATGCATGATTTTTGTGAGGAGGAA